TCGCGAACTGTCCAGTATTGTGAGATGCGTGTGCTAAACAGTTTGGCGGTAATGGACATATATGGGAAAAGCTATTCCACTTGTCTACAGCGAATGACACCTGCCACAAGTGGCACCAGGAATCAAGTGTACTGAGGTCTTCCTGATTGAGACGTATGGCTTCTTGGGTATTTCCACTTCAGGTGACCCGACGACTTTGATGCCATGAGCAAACGAAAAGGCAGTACCATGCGATATGCTCTGAAATACATCGTTTGTATACATTAGAAATAAGTGATGTGACGTGATGCAATATAAGTCTGTGCCAAGAGGATCCACTGTACCAGTGGGTTTTGGATTTATGGAGTCCAATGACTGTCCACAAGGTGACTTGTGTAACAAAGTTCTTCTGAACATGGTGCCTATTAAAATGCAACGGCGCTTTTAACACTTCATACGGACTGTAAAGACAAAAAATGTACTTACAGCGCATGCGAGATGAAATATTGTACACCCAAACGTATATGCTTCACGCGGCGCAGACTGAAAAAAAGCTACGGAAGCACTTTACATAGTCAGTTATCGTAATGCGCTGACAGCAGAACCGAGAAACGTATCCGGCCATGCATACAAAATGCATGGAGATGACCTAAGACTCTTCCTTTCAAAAAGCTTTTCACAGACTGTCTCTGTGTGATTTCTGATGCAAAGCGAACGATGTGTACCTTGTCATGGTAGACAGCTATCGCCGTGCTTCTCCCATTCGCTACAACTTAGCTGTGTGCGATTGCATTCTCGCATTATATCTATACAAAACAAAGTACCGAAACAGACCTGAAGCGTAACGAGATACGACGTTATAGCTTTCCTCAATAACACCTAGCATCAAACAAGTCAGCGCTGCATGTCGGAACGATTTTTATCCAAGGTACTACGCCTTAATATAGTTGCGTTTCCATGTAAGTTCAACAGCCTTTACTTTTGCCAACATCAATGAACAACTGTGCAAATTCAGTGTACAGCGATGAACTCCACCTCATTCTTATGTTATTAAAGCCTAGTTCTGTGGATAAGGAAAGTTCAGGGGTCCGTCGTGCTAGGTTACACTACAAAGGGGTGCACGTGCCGAAAAGTTTGAGAACACCTGCTCTATAGTGACACACGGCATTCTGTTGGCCGACGGTGTCTGACCAATGAGGAAGCTACTTGACGGTGAGCGTGTGCACCCAAGCCAAAGTTTGAAACACACCAACTTGAAAATGCTTGTAAACCAAGTTGAAAATGTTTACGAACCAAGTTGAAGATGCTTACGAACCAATTTGTTTCTTCTATTAACTAACTTGACTCCGATATAGTATAGAGTTCGTGGTTGCGTAGGTAGCGATAACGAATAGACACCAATTAGACCTGCGTGACTTCGAAGCTTTGAATGAGCCAGTCAATCGGACCGCACACATCCGGCTGCTGATTGGGATCCAATCACTCAGAACAGCTTCTGCCCGGGGACTCAGGGCAATACTAACACCGGCTTGCTCAACACTCGAAGCTGCATCGTCACTGAATAGGCGCAATGAGAAAGTGCCGCTGGTGTCACCTGAAGGGGATCGCAGAGCGCGTACAGAGCTTGAGTCTTACAGGCGGGTTTCTTATAAGCAGCACATATCGATCGGAAGGATCTCTAATGTTCGGGCAAGTGTTGCCTGTTGACCGGGCCGTAACAATTTGCGTACATTGAGGCAAACCAATCTGAGGGAGCATCGAGGGCTCCAAATGGAAGCAGATGTACTGGGCTTGACCGCGTGGTTAAACATGGGCTTGTCGACAGGACAGGAGTGACACTCTGTGTTTGTATGCGAGTTGAAACTGGAAGGTAAACGCCTATCAAAGCACACTGAAGGTGGACCAAGAATTGGGTGGTTGAAAACAGGGAGGATAACGGTGAGTTCGGAAAGGGACGATAAGGGTGAAAAAACGTAAGAGGCGGGATATGAAGACGGGGGATTTTGAGCACGCATCCATTCCCCAATTCGCCCTGATCGATGCAGCAGATTGGGCGCCGTTTACTATTCTCTGCGGTGGCCAGAGAATCAAGAAATTGTCTGGTGAAATATTCATAGTATTTGAGAAATGGGCTAGAAAGCTGATTATCAACGCTCGCGGGTTTGCCATCAATGGTGCTTGGGAAAGACCCTGTGAGCGTGTTGCCAGGGCCCAGCCGAAAGCTGATGCAAGTGCGCAGCAGACAGCAGGCGTGCTGCCAAGGCCTGACCGGAAACTGATGAAACCGCACGTCCCACATCCCGTGCGTTGCCATGCAACGGGCAAGCGGACGAAGACTGGAGTGCCGAGCAAGACTGTGAACTGGACAGATGGAGCGGATAAGCATGTGGGCAGCGTGGGCTTACAGCCAAATCCGCATGGTGATACCGACATATAAATATGAGCGTTCTCTGCCCTATTACAACTCTGGTCTGCTGAGTCTTCTGCTGTCTTCCTTCCGATCGGGTTTGCCAAGGCGTCAAACGGAGCACGCGTAAGGGCGCAGAGTTAGCAGCAGGTGTGAATCAACCGGTCGATTGCGGGCGCAGCGTTATAACAGTATTGCGTGGGCATGACGCAGTCAAGTTGCCAAGGCCTAGACAGGAGAACAATTTGGGTTCTCAATCAAAGCCCTTGGTTCAATAACGACCGCAAGGTAGCGGGTTTGGCAGTGGGCTACAAGGAGTCCGTTTTAAGGAATAGGGGACAAGGCTCACCCCAACCCCTAACCTGGAGGACCAGGGGGCTTAGTTTGTCTAGCCTCTAACCATTGACCAATCTGGTATGAGTTGCTCTAAAGGTGCAAAAAACACCACCCAGCATAGCTCAATGGATCACAGAGGCACGCAAACGATCGAACCACGGTAAGGTTCAGGGTCGACGTGCAGCGTTCAGATAAAGTGAAACCCCGTGTGAAGTGCAGTGTTGGAAGTGAGCAGCACTCACTATCGAAAACACCTGAAACACACGGCTTTGAGTATAAGGTTTCCACTCGTAACACTCCACTGCACAACGGGTTTGGTATTCAGTTATGGTCACCAAGCAGGCGTAGTGTCATTGGGACCCTAACAGAGGGCCTTGGGGATGTGATCCGATGCCTCTGCGTCTTTGGCTACTGAGTCACGCCGGCTAACCATTGTGGTAACGGAGAATTACTGATTGGATGGGTCGTTTTTGAGCACTCGTTGAGTGGATTGAAACGCCTGATTCGCAGTGAACTGAACCTTGGTCATTTCGATCATAAGGGTCGCAAATGATGAAGCAAGTGTTGCTGCCCGCCCGAAAGCACGACGCGTTTCGACCTTATTTGCTCTCATCAGGTTGAGATAGCGGATCCTGAACCTGGGACCTTTGGGGTGTTATTTGAAACCACTACCCCCAAGCCACCGAGTTGCGGGGGGGGGGGGAGGCATCGTCTATCACAACGGTTAACGATTGATTGGAGGGGCCATTTGGAAGCAATCGTTAGGTAAATGGATTGTGACGCGCAGTCGCAATGTGGGCCACAATTCCTACTGAGGCAACCTTTGTCTAATTTGATCATGAAACCGCATTTGTGACAGGTTATCTACTGTGAAAAATCTATTCATTCAGGGATTCAGAAACGCTCTATGCGCACTGCATCGATTTGTGTACGAGAAGCATGACCATCAGTTGAAAGGTATTCATTGTTTGGCCTTGCACATTAGTCCTTGAATCCTCATGGGGCAAACGGTTCCTTCGATTTTCCCATCCAGTAAGCTCCGTGTGCACTGACAGATTTCCATCTGAGTAACTTCGCCCGATCGTCCGCTGTGCTGTGCAAACAAGCCGAGGCAACGCCACCCACTACCAACCGTTCCACAAACGTGAGACGTATGAAGAAGTGAGCTCGTTAGCAAACACTTAGATGCCAACAAGCGAATGGGCTCCTGTGAAGTCACGCAATTGATCTTAGCGAAGCGAGCCTCATGATCCTATATACAACATGTGCAACACGGCTCTGCACATCGGGTCGGTTATGTTTGCTGTAGAAGCAAAATGGCTATTTTGTTCTCAGTGTCAGTCACACTTGTGTTCATGTAGGAGAAAAATTCGCTTGTAAACCTTACACTGCTGCTAATCACATGGGCAGAATAAGGGCGCAGCAGCAGGTTTGCTGCTGAAGCTCCTACAGTAAACTGTTCTAGCCCTCCATCGTAATGCGTTCAGGAGATTTGAAGCGACAACTGAAGTATCTGGGTAGGCTTACGATACCAGGAATAACGTCCATATCCTCCGGAGTTTTAGACAATTGTATGGTGAGTACCAAAAAGCAGCACTTCAGTTCCATGATTAACTCCGCCGTAGTAGAAAATATACCGAGCAACTGCTCTATCCTATGAAAATCTGCAAGTGAGTAACAGTTAGGTACCGGGCAGATCGAGTAATCGTCCAATAATACAAGAGAAGACAAACCCTGGACGAGTTCTTAAGCTCACGTGTGACAGTAGCGTCTAACCTGGGAACCATTAGAAGTAGCCTGCTATATAAAGATACGATGTTTTCAAACAGATGGGAGGCCGAAAATAGGAAAACAAATGGACCGATGAAGTGGAAATTTAACTAGTGCGTTATTTACATTTAATCTGTAATCCGTTTAACAACGTTGCTGGAGATACTATTTGTACAGACAAGTGCATACTGTCACTACCCCGCGAAAACACCTTAATCCACATGACGTGCATTTTCTTCTATGTAATGCAGGTATGTCCGGATCCATCTCCAAAGTTGTGATTCGATAGAGACTCACATGTTACCGGAGGCCGACGGCCACCAACCGATGAATAAACGTGACTGCAAATGAGATCGCCGGTGGTAAGATCAAGAGCTAATCGCACTGTGGACCAGCCTGCTGCAACGTACCCCTATAGTTCCCTTTTGTACTAACTCACCAGGGCAAATCAGTGCAAATGTTTAATAGACGAAAAACTGGACAGAAAGACAAATATCGACGAGCTTACCGTTATCTTGGGCGAAGTGGATTGAGTGCAAATTGTGAACCTTCTGGAACAACAGCAATGGCAGACTTTGTGCCACCTGGGACCTCAGAGTAAGGACGAGTTGTTCGCCCAGGAAGATCATTTGCAATTTGACATACTGCCATGTGTTTTTATTCCGTGGAAGACTGATAAGATTCGCAGAGTGGCCAAAGTCTGTCAATGGTTCACCATGTTCTGCGAATGCCATTCTTACCTATGTCAAGGACCAGCGAGAGAATTCGTTCAAAGAAATATACGTGTGGGCAACAAATATACGTCGTTGGAATATGAACCAACAAATGGCGGGGCGATGCAAATTCAACTACCTAGCATAACACATAGAGAGAAGATATTGCTTTTTCAATAGAAAAGTAGACGAATGGACAGTGTGTCTTGTCCAAGACAATAGGATTCAACGATCGCATGCGAAAACGCTAAGGTGACCAGTAGGCCGCTTGAATCGCTAGAGCCAAACTGTGAGTTCAGTGATCCTGATCGTGTCAAAACTGATCCAGAGGCAGTTGTATGCATTTATCAGCAACGCCTTTATTTCTGCCCCGTGTTAACACCTGGGGGAAGATCGATGAGTTAGCCTAAAAGTCGATTGGGTCTTTGCGCATCAAAAGTGATTTGATTGGTGTCATTTGGTTCCAGTTTTTCGTGAGACCACGAACGAAGCCAGACCCAAGGTGTGTGAGCTGTATCCGCCATAGCTTCACTATTGCACCGAAGATGCTGGTTGGATCGGAAGGAATGTGATCAGGTGGCACCCCCAGATGGAAGCCACCCTTACTTTGGAGTCGGCCATCATTGGTTGAATAGTCACAGTGCCAGTGGGCGGTTGAAAGTGCTACCAGTCTTCAGATGTGACATGCGTTGCGGGAACAGATTTGCACGTAGCTCGTGTAGACACATACCGATACATTACCTGCGTAAAATCAAGAAAGACATGAGTTCCAGACGTACACAAAGTTGCAGATGAAGCGTAACCAGTTCCAAGACAGAACTATTCCATGAGCTCCGTACTGGAGGCGCAGGGCTTTTCTGAAATCTTCCGGAGACACTAATCAGCGACGGCATCGGGATGAAACGCACCTGCTTAGTATTCGCATAATATCCCCTAAGATGAAGCATGGTAGAGGAGAATAGTCGTCAGGAGTGGGACCATACAAATTGACTTGGTTAAGTGTAAGCCAGTCGAAGCGACCATGTGCCCAGTGCCATGTGTTGATCACAGTACCGTTAAGTAGTGAGCAACGCTCAGTTGCGCTGAAATGCTAAATGACTTAAAAAAGTATAGGCCGGAATTTGCCACATGTAGACTCCGTCAGACAGCCACCATCCGCCTTGAAACACATTGTACGGCCGTTGAATCTTTTCGGGAATTGTCAGCAGTGCGCCTTCCACCTGACCCATGTTGGACTCGAACCCGCAAGTCGACTGTTGCCAGTCTGTACAACGGTAACGACCATGGTGACTAAGTGATGTGATATAGCGCCGCTCCCTATCCAATGACTCGCACGTTGCTACCGTGCGGAGGACAGGATCGCGCCCTCCCCAACTGACGCTATATCACATCTAGTAACTTAGTCATGACGATCGTCACTGTCCACCGTAGCTAAGTGGTCTCAATCACAGACTGGCAACCGCCTGGTTGCTGATTCAAGACCCAAACGGGTCAGATGGACTGCATACTGCTGACAATTCCCGAAAGGATGAAACGGGTGCACAGTGCTTTTCCGGGCGTGTGATAGCTGTCTGACTGAGTATATATGGGATGAATTTCTAACTATGAAATTTAACTCACCACTACCCCCTTGCAATCAGTACGCAGACCGAACTGCGTATAATGCCAAAAGTGAATTGGTGGCCTAAGTTTGGTAGGTTTTCTGTTTGGTAAGGGGGGCTACCCTGTCCTCTGCACGGTATTAACGTGCAACTCAGTGGATAGCGAGCGGAGCTATATCAGATCTATCAACTTTGTCACGATGGTCGTTTCGGTCCCCCGTAGCTCAGTAGCCTCAAGCACAAACTGGTAATGGTCGAGTTGCAGGTTCGAGCATTAGAAGGGTCAGATGGAATGCGCACTGTTGACGATTCCCAAAGGATGAAACGGTCATACAGTGCTTTTCCGGAAGGGTGATGCCTATCTGACGGTGTCTATAGGGGGGCTGAATTCCCACCTATACTACTCAAATATCCACGCTACGCTTTCGCAACTTAAAAGGAATGACTAACAATACCTCAAACTTATGCACTGAAACTTGCCCTTGGAAGTGACTAGCAGATTTATGCTAAACAACTGGAATGCATTCGAATGCTTTTGTGCAACGAAAGTTACATGCCTAACGGCTAGTAAATAAGAACTTTCTCGGTTCTAGGCCTCTTGTTCCCTGTTTCCATGATCGTACGTGCAATGCTTTCAGAATGATTTGAAAATAACCGGTTGGTGTAGTTTATGAGCAACGTTTCGCTATTGACACGAAACTTCGTCAGCCGAGTGAACCAGTCGAGGGTTGGTATGGCACTTGTAGCGAACTGGGATGATAATCGCTAAGACCGGGATGTAGGCAGTAGGTCAATCGTGTTACAGGTCAACGCATCACTCCAACTAGTGCATGGAACGGTCACAAGTGGTCCGCGTTACAACCGCACACATTCTCTGCCCTGAATCCGTCCGCCGGCGCTCTTCAGACTGGTTGGGTTAACACAGCTCCCCACACACTCGAATGAACATCACATCATCCCCGCACCCATCGTTAATAGGGCTTACGTGCGTGACGTTGTAACGCGGACCACTTGTGACCGTTCCATGCACTAGTTGGAGTGATGCGTTGACCTGTAACACGATTGACCTACTGCCTACATCCCGGTCTTAGCGATTATCATCCCAGTTCGCTACAAGTGCCATACCAATCCTCGACTGGTTCACTCGGTTGACGAAGTTTCGTGTCAATAGCGAAACGTTGCTCATAAACTATACCAACCGGTTGTTTTCAAACCTTTCTGAATTCATGAGTTTTCGATTGGTTCCAAGTATTTTCCAATAGGTCGTATGTGCCTTATTTGTCCATTCAAACTCAGCAGGGTATTCTTCGAAGCCATGGTACCTGCTAAGTGTGAAAATCTTCGAGGCCAGTCCACCGGTGCTGTTTCGCGCGACACTCAGTGCCGCTGCTTTCACACATTTAAGCTGTGTGCCACATGGAAGAGAAACGCTGTTGGGGACCTAAGGACAAGCAAAGTGGACTAAACAGACACGAGGATTCACGAAGCTCGGTTATCGTATCTCATCTCCCTTGCGTATTAGGGTATATTATGCTGTTCGGTGGGTATATGGGGAGAAGTTAGACCCATGTGATGAAAGTGCGCGCAGTGGACGGAGAAAAACGCTGAAATAAGTGAGTTCACAAGGACTGAAACCGCATAAGGAATATCTGTACCATTGGTGTGATGCGGCTGCAGGTCATGGGGTGTTGCGAGGAGTAGTCGAGAAATGAAATGTGAGACACAATTCGTCTGTACGCCAACCCCAGAGCACACTGGCTACTTGGTTCTTACAACGCCGCATGCAATTGAATTGTCTTTGTCCTCGTACTACACAGTCACATAAGACTCCGCATCTCGCTGACAATCGCGTCTTTGCATTCGCAATCGAGGTGTTTTGACGAATCCGGGTCGGTCTGTTCGATTTCAACTGCAAGCATTATCGCTTGTTCTATTTGGTAGATTTACCTTATTTCTTCCACAAAGTCCAACCGCGCATCGTTACTGTACTCGAGACCCCAACAGGGAAACTGTTCTTCCACCAAGAAGGCAAAAACTGAGGGCTCCTCAACAAAGCTATGATCATATGTTGGTTACAGTCATACAGTAGTCGCGCTGTTCGCGGGGTGTCCGCAGCTTGAACTGATCAATCACTTGAAATGACAAGATAAAATAAATTGAATAATACATACAGATACCGCGGCATAACTCTTCGCTAAATTACCATATGAAGTAAGTTGGTTAGTAACCAATCCGCGATAAGTAAGAAATGTCCGCAAGTTACTTAGAAATGCTACAAGCGAAATAATGTTACCGAAGATAAGCGCAATTAGCGTAAGCAACTTCGTCAGTTAACATAAGCTTATTCAGCTAGGCAGAACAAACCAAATAAAGTGGAATGAAACTTATCCAGCTCAAAAAGAGCTAGTTTAAGTGTAAGTTGGTTTAGCCCAACTGCGGTGAAGAAGCATCGAGAATGCAACATCAGCCTCAGCATGGGGCACACAACAAGTATGTTTGAGGACACATGTTGCGGAACAAATTCAGATGGTGCGTCACCGAGTCGCTGGTTGGTGTTGACAGGAACCACCTGAAGTGTTCGAAGAAAGTAATTAAAAACGGTAAAACAACATATCGGATTCATACTGTGAGTGTTACAGTTGGTTTGCAGACTCATCTGACTGCAAACGGCACAGCCAAGTGCTTTTTGGAACACACAGTAAGGGCTGAGAGTTATGGCGGAAGTATTGTCACTACACCCAAAACGCCAAAGTGAGAAGCAATTGAAAACGTTAAAAGTAAATTCCACCCTCCAACTCAACCTGGTCTTAAGACTCTGAGAATGTAAGCAAGATGGTAATGGGGTGCACTAGGTCGCCTCCACCGGATTATCACGAACCTCAACCGAATGCGCTACCATCTTTCCAAAATGGCGAGGACACAGACCTCATGCTCTGAAAGACAAAGACGAAATATCCAGGTGAACATATTGGCTTATCCCGGACAAGTACACATGACAACATACTAAAAGAACTTATTAGAGAAGCCAGTTGGAAGTTTTTGGGTGACTGCTCCATTGAGATTGCTTGGATGGAGTTTAGTGGCAAGTTCGGAGATCTGATGACACCCGAATCGGGAAACAGGCCTTTCGTTCTGCAAGAGCAGCCTCGTTACTTCTGAGCAGAATCCCAAAATGCATGGCGGTAAGAGACGAGGCGTGGAGTGAGTACAAAGCAAACCCTAGCCCTGACAACTGTAGCAACTATGTAGTGCAGTGTAATCACTGAACCACACTTGTCCGTGATGACAAATTACTACACTATCAGTGCCTAGCGGTGAGGTTATGTTAATAACACGCTTCTGTAGAAATATGTGAACAGCCTCCGAAAAGTGAAACGTGATGTCTCTGGACAAATGGATGTGCTCAAACCGCCGAGGATGAAACCA